AAAGTCAATGTTAAATATTGTATTTCTTCACTCCAGTTTCTCCCCAGCTCCAGAGGTAGTCACGATCATACCCACAGAGACTAGGTCACACCATACACAGAATGTTCTACAATTTGCTTTTTTAACTTAACAGTGGGAGTCAGAGACCTTTTCACGTCAGTATACAGACAATGCATTCTTCTTAACCATTGTAAATATTGCCCTCTAAAAGATGTACCATAAATTACTTATCCATTTCTCTACTGGTGAACATTTAGCATGTTTTCAGTTTTTCCCCATTATTAAAATGCTGTAAGAGTTAAGCTTTTATGTTTCTCACTTACCATGCAAGCACCATTTCTAGTGCTTACTTCATTATTTAACTCTCTCAAAACACCTATGAGGTAGATAATATTTTTATCCTTATTTTGTAAGTTAGAAATCTGAGATGCAGGGTTACAAAGCTGATGATTCGCAAAGACTGGAGTCAGGATTCAAATCCCAGTAGTTTGACTCATAGGCCCATGCTTCCTCTATGCTCTGCTGCCTTCCAAACATGCCGTCACCTTTGTGTGCATGCCAGGGTTTCTGCAGGACAGCGTCCTAGACTGGGAGCGGGGAGTGGGGGTTGTGGTGTGATGTATATTCGCAGTTCATCTTTTCATAATTGCTGCTAAATTGCACTCCAAAAAGATTATACCAGTTTTCCCTGCCGGAGTGAGAATTCTCATTCTCTGCTTCCTTACCAACTTTGGACGTCATCAGTTTTGAATCTTTACCAACCTGTTAGGAAAATGGTATCTTGTTCTGCTTTTTAAAAACAGTTCTAACGAAGTATAATTGATGTTAAAGAAGTGCACATGTTTAACGTGTATGGTTGATCAATTTGGATGTATGTGTACACCTGGGAGACTAATTACCACAGTAACATAGTGAACGTATTCATCACCTCCCAAGTTTCCTGATGCTCCTTTGTCATTCCTCCCTCCCCACACCTCAGTCCCCAGGGAACCACTGATCTGCTTTCTGTCACTAAACATGAGTTTGAATCCAAAGGGAATCATCTGGAATATAGGGTTTTTGCCTGACTTCTTTCACTCAGCATAATTATTTTGAGCCCTTGATGGGCATTTGGGTTGTTTCCAGTTTGGGGCTGTAACAGATTGTGCTTTTGTATTGCCTGTAGTCTTCGATGAGCTTTGAGACCCATTATCTTATTGATCTTAGGGGGTGGGGGTATGGCACCATTCTCCACATTTGACAGGAGAGGAAACAAGTGCAGATGCTTACCCAAGGTCACACAGCAAGGTCAGGTCAGAGCTCCGGGTTTCCAATCTGAGACCACTCTGCCCTCCTGTCCCTCTAGTTCAGGAAGCACAGTGTAGGAAAGGCAATTTTTGTGCAGCGGTTAAGAGCACAGACTGTGGAATCTGATTCCCCAGGTTTATGTCTCAGCTGACTAGGGGACAAAGAGCGACCCTTTTCAGCTCTCCTCATTGATTTATTGACTTTCTTCATCAATAACTAAGGGTAGTAATAGAAGCCTACTATGTATAGTTAGTTTGAGGAGGAAATGAGTGAATACGTGTAACGTCTGAGTGTTTTCCAGGAGGAGGGTTCTCTGTTGTTACTACTCGTTCATGAAGTAATTATTGAGCCCTACTCTTTCCTCTCACTGGGGCTGCATGCCCCTTATGCTCCAGAATCCAGCACTCCTGCAGAGACTTCTAGGGAGGGAGGGAACAGCCTTCAGGCTTTGTCCCTGTGGAGAGCAGGGAGGCAAATGGGGAGTGCCAAGGATCCAGAGTAAAGGGAGGTGAGGTCCCAGTGCTCGGGGGATGGGGTGGACATGGGGTGGGGGGAACGGAGAGACGGCTCAGCCCCATGGGTTTGAGGCCAGCTCTGAGTGACCCCAGCCATCCTGAGCCTGCCAAGGTCTGCGCTTCCAGAACCAAAGGGCATTGCCTGCAAAACGCAAGCTCCCCCTCCACCCATCACAGGATTTGCTAGGATGATGTAGTTGTAATTACCCGGCCCAGGAGCTATTATTAGAAAGCAAATACAGCTTTAATTGTCATGCTTAATAGAGGCTGAAAAATGGGAGGACCGAGTGGCTCCAGACGGGTTGGGGCAGTGAGAGTTTTCTTCGGTTCTGGCCCTCCCATTCCAGAGGCATCCTGAGGTGGTGTTGGCATGTGGTGCCCATGGCAACCCTCAGTTACTTGGGGGGGGGTTGCCAGGCGTTTGGGGATCCTCCTCAGACTTCTCCTTCCTCAGTGCTTTTAAGCACCTGGTACCGCTTCACGGCTGGACGTCAGGCGGGGGCAGGGAAGGGTTGCTGCCCACCTTCGGGCCGAGGTTAGGGGGCAGGAAGGCCTCTGTGGAGAAATGTTTAACCCACAGCAGGAAACGAATATTTTTTGAGCACCAGGCAAAATGATAACACCGTTTGTGGGAGTATTATTTCTATTTTATAGATGAAGAGACTAATCTCAGAGAGTTTAAATAACGTACCCACGGTCACACAGTGTACGTAAAAGAGCTAGATCTTTCGGACTCTAAATTCCATTTTCTCTCCACTATACTGTGGCTTCCAAGCCTTTTTGGGGGGCGGGGGGGCAGTGGAAGTCGTCGTTCCAGAAATCTCACCCAGAACCCCTCACATGGCCGCTGTGCCGCTTGGGTCGAAAGGGCCCACAGCTCAGGCCCTGCTTTACGTTCTGTGGGGGCTTCTGAGGCAGTGGCGCCCCTTCTTGGGGACCCAGGACATGGGCTGGAAGGCCTCTTGGAAAACCTGGAGGATGCTGGAGGCCTTACCGGGGCCCTGCCATGAAACCCCAAGGTTTCTTTGCTGGGACCACCCACTGGCCCCTCCTGCAGGGTCTGGGGCAGGATAGAAGGAGCGGCTCTGATCACAGGCCTGTGTCTGCTCCGTGTGGCCTCCGGGTGGTGCGTCTCCTTTCCCAGTGGCCTTTATCTTGTCTTGTGTGGACATCTCCCTACAGAGCAGGCTGGGGAGAACTGTTCTGTGGGAACAGAGGACCAAGGCAGGCCTTGCTTACGGCTCCTCTGCTGCGGCCCTGTGAGTGAGTGGAGGGGCCAGCCAGCCACCCACAGGCAGAGCAGGGCCCACTTTTCGGTCCTTTGCCGTGGGGGTGGGAGGAAGGTGAGGGGGGCAAGGGCACAGCCTCTTTCTGGGCAGCGGGCCCAAGAGAGGCCCCCTCCCTTCTGGGGGCTGCTGTGGGCAGGGCAGCGAGCTGCGTGGCAGTTAGAGAAAACTGGCTGAGGAGGCTGCCAAAACCAGGCCCAGACCACAGAGGAGCAATCAGTCAAAGCAGGCCTTGGGCAGGCTTCCCGGGCTCCCGCCTCCGTCCAGGCTGGCCGCTGCACACTGATAAGTGGCTCTTTTGAAATGAAAAAAAAAGTTGTAATTACAAGTCTAAGCGGCCGCTCAATGGCAGGGTCTCTGTCCCACAGGACACGGCAGGAGGAAAGTGAAGGAAGCCCAGGCATGTGGTCCCACGCAGCGCCTTGATGGAGCCCTGGGCGGTCTCCCTCTCTGCCAGAAGCGGCCGCAGTCCCCCTGGAGGGCGGCCCCCTGCCCTGGGCCCCCCTCCACCCGCTGCAGGCCCCCGGCCCCCCACAGGGCCACGGGCGCTAAGCAGGTGGGCAGCAGACCAGCCAAGTGCGGGCGCGCACACACCAGCCCCCCAGCCTGAGAGCAGGAACCGCTGGCCCCGTTCCCGCAGTTCCCCAAGGGGTCCTGCTTCTCACGGCCCTGATGCCCTGCTCTTCTGCTGACAGTTCCGACTCCCCCCAGCTTCCCACAGGTTCTTACTGGAGTCTGGTCTGTGCCCTCTCAGACCTGCGCTCTTTCCACTCTGCCGACCATGGCTTCAGGAGGAGAACGGTGACCCCAAACACCTTGGCGAAGGCTGGAGCAGCCACCGTGCCTTCGAAGATGCATCTTCTGGGCTGTGACACCGTCACTTCTCTCGCCATCAGGCCACCGTTTCCTTTCCTCAAAATCAGAAGGCAGCCCAGAATCCTGTGACTTCTATTTAGCAAATCCCATAAGTAAAATGCTATCGCTGGGTGGTTCAGATGTAAACACTGGACGATGGGAAGATGTTTATGATTCACGATTACATGAAAAAGAGAGGAGAAAGAACTATACTTAGGGTACAATGAAAACTGCCCCCTAACCGAAAAAAAGCCCTACATAGAGATAGTATGGAAGAAAATATTTTGATTGGAATGACTCTAAGTGATTTTTCCTCACTTTTGTGTATTTTTAAAGTTTTCTTTAATGAGTATAATTCTAAAACAAACAAAAATGATAGCATCCTTCCTGAGTCCTGGCCCTAACAGCTACAGAGAGGGGTACAGCGTGGAGAAACGAAACGCTTCCTCCTCATTTCCTTAGAAGCAGGCTGACAACAGAAGGGTCCGGGCCCCATTCCCAGGAACAGCTGCAGAGCAGAGAATTGTGAAGCATTCCCTCACAACCACCTGGGAATGGAGTCGGCCCTGTTCTCAGGCTTGTTTTGCAGATGAGGAAACTAGGCTTGGAGAAGCTCCATAACCAGCCAGAGTCAACAGCAAGCGAGGGATGGAGCTCAGTGCTCCCATTTCCACCCGCCAGCTGGCAGGACCACAGGGGCCTCATGTGATCTTCCTAAGTCCTGCCTGTCCATCCCCCATCCTCCTGCAGGGGTGGAGTTCGTGGTGCCCAGGACTGGGTTTTACTGCAAGCTGTGCGGGCTGTTCTACACGAGCGAGGAGATGGCGAAGATAAGCCACTGTCGCAGTGCTGTCCACTACAGGAACTTACAGGTAAGGGAGCCTTCCTTGCTCAGGACCGGGGGGCTCCCCGGTCGATGTCCTTCCACCACGTGGAGAACAGCTCTTTCCCCTGGCCCGTCTCCCCCAGGCTGCTGCTCCACGTGCTGGCGCCTTCCCTGTGCTCTCAGGACATCTGTCTCCCCTGGAGTACTTACAGCATTCTGTTGGGGGCGGGTTTTGGGGTATCTGCTTCTCCCCCTGGTCTGAGTAACTCGAGTTAGGGATCACCCGGCCCATGCTTAAGGCTGACCCCTTTTCACAAGACCTGGATATTCTAGATGCAGGCATTTCTCTGTTTCTGTTCCCCCATGCTGTTCCCCTGTTTGCTGCAATAAAAATCACCATTATGTTCTATTCAAATGTTCATCTGCCACTGCAACTATTTATCAGAGGCATGCTATGTACCAGATGCTGTTCTAGGTCTGGAGATAAAACAACAAAACCACATAGATATGCACGCGCGCGCGCACGCCTGGGTGGCTCAGTCAGTTAAGTGTCTGCCTTCAGCCCAGGTCGTGATCTCAGGGTCCTGGGATCGAGCCCTGCATCAGGCTCCCCGCTTGGCAGGGAGTCTGCTTCTCCCTCTGCTTCTTCCCCTGCTCCTGCTCTCTCTCTCCCTTTTTCTCAAATAAATAAAACTTAAAAAAATTATAAACACACACGCAAGCAAAAGACAAAAACCTCTGCCCTCTTGGACCTTCCATCCGAGTGTAGGAGATAAGCAATAAAATAAGTTTTATGGTATAGTAACAGGGGACATATAAAACATACTACCGTGTTTCACCCAGTCTGAGGTCCCAGCCATTATAAGACACACTACCACTTTTTGGATACCAATAGGAAAAAAATTGTTGTAAAGTAAATGGTGAGACTCCATCAGTTGTAAAATGCGTCTCAGTTTCAGAGATGTTAACATGTGGGGGAAGAAAACCTCATCTTAGAATCAATGAAAGACAGTAGTAAGTTCTGTAATATATACCTAACTGACATGCAGCATGTTGCAACTTCGGGTGTGGGGGGGATCTTCGGGACCTTAATAGAAAGCATGGTATATCAGATGCCCAGGGATAAGTATTCCAAGGCACCTTATGTTTTTACTACAAGGAGCCAGACTAGTTTTTTGGCACATACGGCCTCCTCACCTAGGGCAGACCCTCGTGGTGGCAGCATGTCCTAATGCCAGAGCAGACATTGCTGTTAAATTGTTAGAGTGGCTGATCGAGGATTTTTCAGCCAGAGGTGTGAAATAGAATCACCTGGACAGTGTTTTGAAAGTATATATATATATATATATATATATATATATACACACACACACACACACACACACACACACACACACACACATACTAGGTGAGCTAGTCAGTAGAATGGGGGGAGGTGATCCAGGAATACATAATTTGAGAAAGTTCTCCATATGATTCCAATGTGCATTCCTAGTTAAGAGACTCAGATATGGGCCAACTCTTGTTTTTTGTTGAGGATATTGAGGCCCAGAGAAGCTATGTGATTTGTCCAAGGCCATGCAGATGGTGAATTACCAGGCCCGGAAACAGATTGCCTGATTCTTAATCACTTGCCCTTTTTTAGCCTGTTAAGCTGATCTTGCAAACCAAGACCCATAATGGCACGGCCTGTGTCACCATCTGCAAGGGATTGTCATTGGCTATGCCCGGACTCATGTCATTTAAGCCTCTTGATTTCCCTCTGTGAGCAGCCACTCTGTGACCAAGGAAGCTGTGGGGCCTGGGGCCCAAGTCCTGGCCTCTCCGGGGGGAGCGCAGTGAAGGCCTGACTTGACCAGACCAAGCATCCAGACTGGGCTCTACAGAACCAGCGGAGGGTGGCCGTCTACCCTGAAGACATCATCATCCCCCACCCCAACAAGATAAAACCTATAGAATGGCAGCATTGGAGATCATCTAGTCCTGATTTTCCCCAACTGTGGTCGTCATACCAGCTGGCATTTTTAAACATGCAGCTTCCTGGACCCACCCTACACCCGTTATTCATTCTCTCCAGGGCTGGGCCTGAAAATCCTCATTTAAAAAAATAGCAGGTTCTGATACCTCAGTGTGCGAGCTCTTGATCTCATGTGGTATTCTCAGCTGGATTGTGTAGTTCTCAAGGAGACCACGCAACTCAAGATCACTCAAGAAGTTAGGATGAGTCCAGACTTGTCAGGGCCTCTGATTCTAAATCCTGTATTTTTTTTTCCAGGACAGTGGACTACACTGTGTTCTGGGCCTATGGGCCAACTCCCCAGGCAGACTCACCTCCCCAGAGCAGGCCAGAGCCATTTCCGTGGTCCCCAGGCACGTCAGGGCCAGACATGGGCTAAGCCTTTCAGGCCCACCAACTGCAGTTCAGGTTTCTCTGGCACACCTGTTGGGGAGCTGGGGGCCTCCACCGCGGGCTTCTCAGATAAGGTTTCTGTCAGTGGCCTTGACAGAATGTCTCTTGTCCACACAGCCTCACGCACCCCACACTACCCCACGTTACATGTGTGAAAAGTGAAGAATGTTGGTTCACACCTAAGTCAGGCAACTTGTAAACTTAGCACCACCAGCAGGCCTTGAGGTGGGGGTGAGGGATTGCTCTTTGAGGAGGGGAGCAGGTGGAAGCAGCCTCCTTTCTCCCTGTGCAGCCTCTGCTGGGCCCCCACTGCTGGTCATAACCCGAAGAGAACCCATCCAGAGTGACCCAGAACAACGAGGGGAATCAGATAGGTCAGATAGGAAAACTAGATGCCTCCCGCTCCAGGTCCAGAGAGGAGTGAGCCCACATTTCCCTTCCTGGGGTGAGGTGGAGAACAAACCAGGCCCTCCCTCAGCAGCCTGGCCCGCAGGGACCCACGGTCGGTCTGCCGCTCTCCCCATCAGGCTCACCCACCTCTCAGAGCCAACCGGTTTCTTCTAGAGAGAGCAGGTCATCTTACAGGCATCACCTCATCTGACCCTCAGAATCACCCTGGGAGGAGGAAGGCACTGTTTCTCCCGTTTACCAGATTAGGAGTCAGAGGCAGAGAGAAGACGAGTACTTTCCCAGAGTCAGAAGGCCAATGCCCCTCATGATAAAGGACAACATTACGGGGTACTTATTCTGAGCCAGGTGCTGAGTGCTTACAGTACCTCCCGTGGACTTCACAGCCACCTTACAGTGGTAGTTCCTGTTGTTAACCACACTGCATAGATGGCAGGGATCCTGGGTGGCTTGCCTGCCGAGAGCTAGGATCTGCACCCGGGTCGTCTGGCAGCAGAGCCCACACATGTGACCACTTGCCCACTGACTCCTAATCCAGTGCTCTTTGCACTGCCCCCTGCTGCCTGGGCAATCAGTGGGGCCCGTTACGTCTCACTGCACGGAATCTAGAATCCCAGGGGCGGCCTGCCGTGTGGCCGGGGGCCGGTGGTGATGGCAGCGAGTGTCCGGGGCGGTATGAGGCAGCCCCCAGCTACAGAACAGGAATCCAGCGACAGACGTCTGGGCTCTCAGCCTGCCTTCTGCCCGCCAGGAAACAGGTGGTTACAAGAGGCGGCAGCCGGCTTTGGCAATCCGCGCAGGACAATGCTGCTCTCCCCCCCCACCCCTAGGTCGGCCAGTCCGCCTGGCCTCTGGTCCCCCCTGCCTGTCACGCGCAGACATGCCCCTGGGCGCTGAGGCTCTTCTGGAAAACAAGTGGAGTCATTGTGAGCATTCAGTGAGTTTCTATAAGGAAAGAGAAGAGCGCTTGCACAGGATAAGGGCCTTGGAAGTGGTCCCGTTGTTGGGATCTGTGTTTTCGAGGCCAGCCCTGCGGTACTTGTAAACTAACAGAGAGAGAGGAGGGAGCTGAGCGTGGGTCCTGTAGCCCCAGAAGGACTGGGGAGGGCTGGGAGGGGGGTCCCACACCCTGGGAGACATGATGCGAGAAGGGGCCCAGGTACATCCTGCCCTCCCCTCCCCTCCCCTGTCCCGCCAGGTCACCACTGACCCTGTCCCTTCCCTTTGTCCCTCTCTCCCCACCGCAGAAGTACTTGTCCCAGCTGGCCGAGGAGGGCCTGAAGGAGACCGAGGGGGCCGGCAGCCCCAGGCCTGAGGAGGGCAGAGTCGTGCTGCACTTTGAGAGGAAGAAGCCTTGATGCTGCTGGAACCGAGGTGGGGCCTTCCTGACCTCGGTGACGGAAGCTAAAGCCAGAGAGGAAGGAAAGCCAGGCCAGCGTGTTGCCTCGGCTCGTCCTCGGAGACTTGTGAAAATGCCCTTCAATTGTCTCCTCAGTGAAGCTGTCACCTGATGTGTCCAGCAGCTGAGGGTCACCCTCTCTCCCCCCACCTCCCTGATTCTTGTTTCCTTCAATCTGCTTCTCTCTTCTTCCCCCTCCCTCCCTCTCTCTCACCTCCTGTGCCAAGGGTCATTTATTTTTCATAAAATCCAACTTCTCAGGGATTTTCACGGTGTTCAAATTCTTGATGGGACAGGACAGGTCAGGCCAAGGAAGAGCTCTCACGGAAACTCCCGGGTCAAGACCCACTTTGGGGGGCCTGGAGCGTTTTCTGTGCCTGGCGTCCTGAGCCGGGGGAGTTGTCGGGTCGTGCAGGCCTGAAGGGGGTGCCCCCTAGACCAGCAGTTGGCAGAAGCTGGGAGTTCCTCCAGCGGGACCATCTTTTTGAAAAGCCCCCGTTTCTAATAACTCTTTCAACCTCTCAGTTCCTCTAGAAGTCCACCAGATGCATGCCTTAACATAAAAGCAATGACTTTCACCGAGGAGGAAACGAGCTCTTCATTTTGGAAGCTCTATTAAGTCCTCCCCGCCCCCCAAACTTATTTCCATCCTCAGGATTTCAGGAGGTGCCAAGCTTTGTTCTGTTCTGGACAATGAATTTGGTATAGATTCACTTCAATTAAAAATGAAAACAGTAGTGTCTTCTCCCTTCCGCCAGAACAATAGTTGGTACGGGCTTGGGTCGAATGCTGGCTTCCCAGCCCCGTGTGGCACTGGCTCAAGAGACCCCAAAACAGGGCAATGGCATCTGTCCTCGACTCGCTCCTGGTGCCTGCGCTCTGGGCTCCAGCAGCCTCTCAGTGGGATAGTTTTTAAACTGGTCTCTCAGTGGAGAGAGAAACTAAGGGAAGAGCAAGGCTGCAGGAGTGAGGAGCAGCATTTGAGGATTGCCAGGAATTGGTAGGTGGGCAGGAGGTCGAGGGCATTTCAGAGGACCCCTGTGTGCACACCTGGGTGTTGAATGTCATGAAGAACAGAACTCTTCTTCCTGTAGCGTTTTCTGATACTGGAGGTGAGTGCCTTCAGGCCCCAGACTAGAGAGTCTGATGTTCCCCTGGGAGCGTTTGGGACAGAGGTGCTGGGGGGACATGAGGCTTGCTCACAGCCCCGAGGAAGACCTCAAGAAGGTCAGAGGGGAGCCTTGTGCTGTTTCCACAAGCTGAGCTACTTCCCTGGCTCAGCCCTGGGAAGATGGTTCCTGTGTTTCTATTCCTGACCGCAGATAGATAGACTAGGAAGGGATTGTTTGTTTTATATTATTTTTTGCATTTTTTATAGTAGATCAGATTTTTTTTGTGGTAGATATGTATACTGCACATTCTGCCCTCTGCACTAATGGCAGAAGAATAGAGAAATTATCTGAGTTCGACACTGACATTTTATCAGTGAATCTGAGGCACAGAGAAGGAAGAAATGTAGGACATAAAATGATCTTGTGTAAACCTCGGGCACATGGTTACTGGTGAGGAGAGAGTTGCAGGGAACCTGCGAAAGAGAACAGAGAAGGCCAGCACCGGAGGCCAACCAGCCAGCCTGGGCTCGCGCCGTCAGGGGCTGGAGGAAGCGGGAAGCCTGACCGCGGTGTGAGGCCATCCGGGGGCCTCGGAAAGGTTGGTGTCTCAAAGAGAGTGGGCTCTGAAGATGGCAGCTCAGCTCAAGCTGCCTCCACAGGTTTTTACCTGATGTTCTGGAGACCGGCCTCCCCCATTTCTGGGAAAACCTCTGGCCCTATTTGTCATTCTTCCCACTCAGGGGATGTCCAGGGCCAGCTCTCTGGGCACCTTGCTGGGAAGAGCCTATCACCTCCACCGGAGGCTGGAACTGAGCATTTTCAGAGAGGCTGGCAGTCTTTTCTTCCCGCAAAGTGAAAGCCGACCCCACCAGCCCGCCCCCCCCTCCCCCCCCAGCACCGTTTCCATGGAAATCAGGATGGCTGTTCAAACAGCCTCATTCCCAAGTAATGGGATGGTTCCCTTGCTGATAGACTGACCTTCTCCATACTGGACAGCTGGTGAGAGCCCCTGGGAGGGATCGAGCAGAGGCTCTCTGCATCCAATCAGAGCCTTCACTTTAAAAATCATCTAAGATTCTGCATCTGTGTATATATTTGTATTTATTTGTATTTATTTTTATACAATCCCATTGGCATGGTCCTTCACCCACTCTATAATTTGCACTTTTTATTCCTACATGTGTCGTACACAAAGCAATATTACAGGCAACCAGGAAAATACGGACTTATTTTTTAAAGCTTTTCTTCAGTGTTTGTCAACGATTTCAAAATGTCTTCCCCAAGAGCTTGTTTAAGAGCATCTGCTACCGTGAGCAACAGATTCATTTGTACCCTGGGTTAAGGTAACAAAAGGCCTAGGTAATTTTCTTTTCATCATAAAACACCTAAAATAAAGTATATACAGGCAGTATTCCCAAAGAATTTGGTAGATTTGGTGTTGGTGTGAGGACAGCCATTACTGTCCCTTCCTTGGACAGTCTGAGGCTGTGATCTGTTAGATTGTACTCGAACTGGACCAGAGTTTGCTTTTTGAGCTTATGAGAAACAAACACTAGTTAATTTAAGTTTGAACTTGTAAAGTATTAGAATTTGTTGAGTGTCTTATAAATCGTCATCACTTTTCCTGATCTGTATAATTGACCGCAAGTGTTTGTTTTTACAAAAGGAAAAAAAAAAAGGATTTTTAATAAAGAGAATTTGAAAGCTTGTGAGTAGCTGTCTGTCATGCAGGGGCCCCTCGACATTTGGCTGGGGGGAGCTCGCTGAACACAGGTTGGGACCTGGCCCCTCTCTGAATCTAGGAGGTCTCTAAAGGGTTGAACAGAGAAGACACAGCAGCTTCTCTCCGGAACTCCAGGGAATTGGGTGAGCCTCCCAAAGGGTGAGTCGGGGAAAGTGGAGAGCTGCTGTCCCTTTTGAAGTATCAGAAAAGTCTCTTGGCCTCTTATAAACCTGCTGCCCAGTGCCCCGAGTCTTCTCCCGGGCTGAACCCCGTTGTCCGGCCCCAGGTCAGGTCGGGTCATTTCTGGCCATTCCATCTGCTGTGAGGTGGTTGATGCCCAGCCTGGCTCTCGTTAGCCCTGTGACTTCTTGAGTCCCGAGTCCTTGAGTGTCCAAGGGGATAATGGTGTACATCACCTCTGGGTTGTTTCAGGTTTAAGGTAATTGCTGGTGAAAACACTTGGTACGCTGTCTGGTACTGAACCTTGTTTGCTTTCGGACTCCGAAGCTCTTTCTCAACCATTTCTTCTAGCAAAACAAGGCCAGTCTCCTGAGCCTAGTTGGCCAGTCCTTTGAACATCCTGGAACCTTCCATGGGCCCTTCCCTCCTGTTGGCAGTGCTCCTGAGTCAACGGGGAGGGGCTGGGCAGTCTGGCCCTAGAGGGCAAAGTGAGTGGGGCCGCCTGTAATTAGCAGGGGCAGATTGTAGATCTGAGGAAAGTTCCTGTCGAGCCTGTTGCTGCTCCCCCACCCAACCCTCAGCCTATTGTGGCCATCCGGGCACTGAGCTCAGGCCTCCAGTTCCCACCAGGAGGGGTGGAGAAGCATCCTTCCCTGCCACTGCTGGCTGGGCCCCAGCTGGCCAAAGTAGTGAAGGGGCCTGGAACTTGTCCTCTGTGCCAAGTTCAGGATCCAAAATGCATGACCGTGTCCCCGGTCCCCAGGCCCTGCATGTCCCTCCAGGTGGCATAGCTCTGGGGGGCACCGTGCCCCTTGTATTCTGTCAGATGGCACTCCCCAGGGCTGTGCGGTGGAGATATCCTGTCAGGGGACCCCCTGAATTGCAGTCCCCCTGCCCTTGCCTGGGCGTTCCCATTTTCTCTCCAATATTCTTTAAGGCCCTAGAACCTGGATCTGAGCCAGTCTACCAAGCCAGAGCCCTGACATTCAGACCCACTCTCTGTGCTCACTCCTCTTCCCAAGGATCAATGGCAGACTGCCCCTGGTTCCACTCTGCCATGGCCTGGACATTGATACTGCTTCTCACCATTTAGATACTGACCTTGGCCCCCATTGGAACATCAGTGGCAACTGTTGACTGTCCATCAAGGCAGGGATGGGACATCTAGACTCGCCCCTTACACCCCTCCATTCTCCTTTCCCATTCCACAAAGGAGCCTGTCCCAACCGGATTTCCAAGCGTGTTGGAACAGGATGGACCCAGGGACCCTCAAGTCCTGGCCCTTCCCTTTGCCGGTGAGACAACTGAGGCCCAGAGAGGAGAAGTGACTTGTCCAAGGCAACACAGCTTATTGGTATAAGATCAAGACGAGAATCCAGATCTCCCGGGTAGTCCTGCTGGGTACACACACGGATAGAGGCTGTTTCAGTTAGATTACTTCGTGAATTTTCCAGGCCAATCCCTAGCTGGCCTTTGACCCTCAGTGAAGATTCAAGACAAATCACTGTTGGTTTGTTTGTTTTTATGTTTTCTGTGCATCCAAATCACCTGGGGAACTTGTTAGAAATACAGATTCCCGGCCCCTCCGTGGAGATTCTGTCTCAGCAGGTCCCGGGAAGCACACAGGCGGGCACGGGGAGCGCGCAGGCCCCTGCACTTGAGCAAGCCTGGGGCTGATTCAGGGCAGGTGGAGTCCTCTGCTCACACTCCGAAGTTTTCGAACACTTCCCTAGAAGTCAACCAGGGACTTCCCCGGCAGCTCCTGGAATAGAAGGGGCATTTATTTTGCTGGGGGAAGGGCAGGCGAGAGTGAATGGAGACCATTCAAGGTAGAAGAGACTCCAGCGGGAGAGAGGCTTGAAGGAGGACCCTCACGGCATGGCAGATGGAGACGGCGGCAGCTGGTGGCAGCAGGGCGGTCCTCACACTGGGCTTGGGGCACGTGTCAGGACTTCTTCAGTTGGATTCATGCTGACTGTGCTTTGGCAAAAGTCCGTTTTCCAATGGTCTCTTTATCCTTCTTAATGGCTGAGAACACTGGTTATTAAGAAGACCCCCTGAGAGCTGCGGATAGCCCTGGCCCCCTGTGCACAGTCATCAGGCCTTCTGGGGGATGGGAGTCCCACAGAACAGGGGCACCCGCCAGGGCCATGTCCCTGCCAGCGACGAACCCTGAGGCTCGCACACTCCTTCTCCCACCCTGTGAGCCGCCACCAATACCAATATTCTCCCCAGAGACTGCTGAGCAGCTAGCTCTACGTGCCACACTCAGTGTGTACTCTATGGGGACCTTGTCTCTTGGCCTCGTCAGTTATTCTCCCATTTCACAGATGGGGAAAATGAAGCTCAGGGACCCACAGAGGTTTGCCTGGGGTCAGAGACCAGGAAATAGCAGAGCTGGGATTCAAACCCAGGTCCATGTGACTCTCAAACCATGCTTTTTTTTTTTTTTTTTTTAAGATTTTATTTATTTATTTGACAGAGAGAGACACAGCGAGAGAGGGAACACAAGCAGTGGGAGTGGGAGAGGGAGAAGCAGGCTTCCCGCCGAGCAGGGAGCACGATGTGAGGGGCCTGGGATCACGACGCGAGGGGCCTGGGATCACGACCTGAGCCGAAGGCAGACGCTTAAGAACTGAGCCATCCAGGCGCCCCTCAAACCATGCTTTTAACCACCATTCTCTACTGGCTGTCTCAGGATGGGGGTCTTCTGTTCCTACATCTCGCTAAAGCCTCTAGACCAGGGCCACGAGGCACAACAGGGTAGGGATGATTCAAGGGCCCAATTTAGCTGTTCTCCCGTCTTATGACTGACACCTGGACTGCTAAATTCCTGAAACTGATCTCAACACCTGCGCTCCCTAGAAAGTAGCTGAAGGCAGGCCCCCACCCACTGTGGTGCAGAAAAACAGGCACCAAAGAAGCAGTTTCTTCCTGTCCTTAGGCTGCAGAGTTTGCCAGGGGAGCTGGATCTCGGGGTGAGGGCATAGCAAGGCCCAGGTGTGGGGACTGCCCCAGTTCCTCCTGCTTCAGCGAGGGGAGAAAAGCGCCCTGTTCTCTGTTTTCAGGTAATTTGGGGTACAAGGGTGTGATCAAAAGGGGATTTCCCACAGCCCCAGAATGTTGGCCAGACTTCACACTTTCAACCTCTCCTTCCTGAGTGAAACTTCATTGTTTATTTACCTACCACCTCCTTCCTACAAGGAGTTGAGATGATCTACAACACAGGCCATGTGTGACCAGAGTAAACCAAAAGAAAAAAAAAAGATTTGATTTATTTATTTGACAGAGAGAGACACAGAGAGGGAACACAAGCAGGGGGAGTGGGAGAGGGAGAAGCAGGCTTCCCGCTGCCCAGGGAGCCCGATGCGGGCCTCGATCCCAGGACCCTGGGATCATGACCTGAGCCGAAGGCAGACGCTTAACGACTGAGCCACCCAGGCGCCCCCAAAAAGGTTTTTTTTTTTAAGTTGATTTTTTAGTAATCTCTACACACAATGTGGGGCTCAAACTCACGACCCAGAGATCGAGTCAGATGCTCTTCTGACTGAGCCAGCCAGGTGCCCCTAAACCAACAGAAATTTTACGTGAGGGCTGAGACAAGTTGAAGGTAGCAAGGATGGGAGCAGTAAGGGCTGATGGAGTGGTGGTGGATAAGCGTGAGATTTGACTGGGAGCCTCCTAGGAGCCAAGGCAAAAGGAGGAAGCAAGGTCCATTACTTGGCTTTCTCTTTGTTAGCAGAGAAAGAGTGTTGCAGCTTATCTGGGGAAATTGTTCTACTCGACTCAGTATTCTAGAATTCTCCTGTAGGACTGTCCATGATGTGGGCAGAGGCACTGAGAGGCTTGGAGAAAGTCCTTAGGTAGCTGGAGAACAGAGCAGTGGATGATTTCCGGTCTGTGTGAAGTGGTCCCTGATGTCAGGGTGACACCTCCCAGTGTCAAAAGACCTGATCTCTGTGCATTTCTGCCTAGCCCACTAGCCAGTGTGCTGGCTTGAATTTGTGGGTTTGGGATTCGTTTTGTTTTGTTTTCAAACTTCTGTTACTTAGCTGAGCTCCCAGGAGCCGAGTCCATAAGACAAGGCGGATGCTGCTGTCTCCCCAGCCACCCAACCGGCCTGCACACCCACCTGACGACAGAGCCCTCTGGGTGGGGATCCCGTTGGTCTGGGTTTTGGGAAACAACCTGTGGACATTTGCTCTTTGGGGTTCTCCCACGGGTTAACATGGCCAGGAGGAAACCCAGCCTGACTGGGAAGCTCTGACTCCCTCAGGCTGAGCCTGGGGCCACCTCAAACCTGTCCGATAAGGACCAGCCCTGAGGAGGATGGGTACCGGGGGCACCTCCTGTGGGTTTGCAAGGCAAGAAGGGAGAGAATTTTCCAGTTCAGGGGCAGGTCCCCGAAGCTGGGAATCCAAACCCCAATTCCCTGTGTCAGAGCCATGGTGAATTCACTCAGACTTGGGCAAATGTCTACCTCCTGGCACTTCGTCTGCCCCTCTGCACGTCTGCCCCGTGCCTGCTGCTTGCCTGAGCTGGATGGAGCCAAAGTGAGAGGTGGAGGGGTAGAGGACACAGCTCACAGTCCCCAGGGGTGGCAGTCCCTCTGTTCCAGTGCTTCGCACGGCCCCAGCGCTACAAGCCACAGGCCTGTCCGGAGATGGGGTTCTCTTCCCATCCTCCACCCCTGGCTGGGGCTGCATTTGCGGGGCCGCTCGTGTTGCCTGCCTCATCTCCACCCACTTCTCACCCCCACAGCTGCCGGCCGCGGTTTGGCCCCGCTCCCTGGCTCCTTGGCCCCA